CTCTCTCTCTCTCTCTCTCTCTCTCTCTCTCTCTCTCTCTCTCTCTCTCACACACACACCCTCATATACACACAGACTTCGATTAAAAACCTATTACCCACTCAGTGTTGGAAATATACAAACCCCTGTGCAGAATGTTTAAGCCAGCTATACTGTGGATCAGTGTGTCACCTCCTTCTGTCTCTGTCTCTCTGCAGACCAGTCACCAGAAGAAAATGTAGTATTGTACATTCCTCCAAACCAAGAATATGTTGCATTTATATATTTCATACATAACATATCAACATTTCTAAAGTGATGTAGTATATGAGCATATGAGCTGACTTAATCACCCAAAGGTGGAGGTGATGGTGGATGGTCTGTGACTTAGGTGAGACACCTGCCAAGCTGCAGACCACTCTTTGAGACCAACAAACAACAAATCTGTTTGTTTTTTTAGTGACCATCACTCGTTTTTCCTGCAGCTTTTTAGCCACCAAATGTGGGTGTTTTGTAGTGACCCATCCCTGTTTTCCACCTGGATAGTGCAGCAGAAAGCTGTACTTTATAGACAGGATTGTGCCCCTAAATCTTAGTATTTCAAGCTTAAACATGATCTTTTCCTTACCGTAACGTGTAACCATAACCAAGTGGTTTTTGTGCCTAAACCTAATCACAAAAAAATGTAGTTTTAGCATATGCACTGAATACTAGCATGCAAATGTAACATATCTACGGTCTGAGGAAACGTACAGTCCCAACTTCTATCCTGGTGATTGGGTTGTCCAATACCTGGTTGTACACTCCACCTAATGTACAGTAACATCCCCATGCAGCTAAGCAGCTTGTCGCTAAAAATGGAGGAAATGGATAATAACGTGACAAAATATATATAGCAAGGTTTGCTAACTGATATAATAAACATTGCTTAATGACCAAGACCAGACAATTAAAGCTGATGTTGCTCACATCTCCTCAGTGGTCTGTCTCTTCTCTGCTGGTGAAGAGGGGTCAATTTCAGAGAACTCCAGTACCAGTCAAATCAGCTCCTGCATCATTTCCCTCGCTGTCAGACCATCCTAAACTCCAAATGTGAGTTCACCTTTCCTTGCAACTGTCCTTGGGTTATTTGGACAAATTGGTATGTTGGCCTGATGATGGCAATGGATAAGGTTAAGGGATCACCTAAGTTTTTACAATTCATTCTGGGAGGGAGGGGAATGAATCATTTTAATATTTGCATTTCAGGCCCAAAATATCCAAAGTGGAGTGCCGACCAACCGATTGGCTGACTGACTTTGCCAGCATGGCTAAAAATTCCTATCGTTGTGACAAACATGGGTTTAAATGCAGTTTAGCCATTTTTTTTATCAAGTACTGTCCGTTGACTGTTTAGACGGACAAATGGGTTATAAACCCTTGAACAACAAAATAGATATATAAATAAATAAAATAAAAAAAAGTTAAAGGCGCCGTATGTAAGAATGTGGCCAAAATGGTTACTGCACTCAAATTCAAAATACTGCCGTGAGTCGTGTCCCCCCCCCCCCCCCCCACAGATTCGAGGTTGCTGGACAGCGGCACGCTGGAGACTGATTTGTTTGCCCACGGGCGGCTGCCATGGCAGGGCTGCGTCACCGCGTCCTTGATCTTCGGTTTTCCAGCGGACCGTTCAAGCAAGTCCAGCTTCTCTGCTGCCAGGATACAGCTAATGCTGCTTGCCGTGCTGCTAACGTTTGTTTCTCAAAAAAATCAGTCGGGTCGATGACCCACCTGCACATGGGCTACAATGTATGATCAAAAATGAATAACAGTTTAAAGTATTCAAAATGTCCATCCCCGTCTAGCTATGATGCTAGTTAGCCAACTTTGGCTAAAGCTCACCTGTCGAGGAGAAGAGTAGCCACTTCGACATCCGATTTCAAATTCTTCTCCGCTTTCAACGGTCTCCACCGTTAAAAAGCATCTCCTATATAGACCCTCGCTTTGCCTCGAGTTTTGTCTTGGCATTTTTGGGAATCATAACGAGGTCGTTTGGGTTTATTCGCACCGTCAGCCATTGTAGCTCAGTCGTAACTGTAACTGATGCTGAGACTCTACTGACTGTGTGAATGGTAGACGGCGGTGGGTGGCGCAACAGGCCAAAACACAAATTCAAAACATAAACATGATTTGCATACCGTAAAAAATTTTTTTTAAATGCGAATATTCTGGCTGTACTATTGTTGTCGGTGAGATCAGTATGTTATATTAACATTATTCCTTAGTCTCTGTGACATATTAGGAGGATTTTACGACTATTTGCTTTAGATTTCTTACATATAGCTCCTTTAAATTTCAAATGTTGACCTCATCTGAAAAATTATCAAATCCTACCAAATCACGCTGCCTGATATCCATTGTTGATATCCCCCAATGTCCCTATTGATCAGGAAGCATATTAAGGAAGTGAGCATGAGGCTATGACATGGTACAACAAGTCAACACTGGCACATACTTTTCAATTGTTGAGGATGAAAAAAAAAGAAATAGAAGTACTGTTATTGTTCTGTTACCATTCAGAAGCACAGAACTTAACCTCTAGCTCAGACCATAGACAATCTCCTCCCAGAGCCCATTTACAGCTGAAAGTAACAGCATGTCAGCAGAACAGACCACAGACAGAGAAACGTTGGACAGTCAACAAAGCCAAACGGTCTCGCTACCGTCCACTTATCTCTCCTCTCATCTTAATAAGACCAGAACGGTTGCAGCATCCTCCCCATAAGCCCGTGTTGTCTGGGTCTGAACCACAGTCTCATTAACCAGACATATTCGCCTTGGCAGTACAAAGGGCTTCCTCTGGAGCGTGCACTCGGTCCGTCTCGACTTGCTCATTTTAAACTGAAACTTCAACATCCTCACTGTGTGCCATTATCGATATCAGCAACCAGCACTCTGAGAAAGGGCAGAGCGGAGGGGTTCTGCTTTTCTTCACACAGAGCTGAGACGAGCACTGATGCTGGAGTCAGATGTGGGATAGTGAGATGCGGTGAAGAGGATCAGATATGATTGATTAGATCTTAGTATTTCATGGGCATTTAGATGTCCCTCTGTTTCTCTAATCCAATCAGATTCAATTCACTTATATTCTGTGCAGTTCAAACAAACAGCATGGGTTTGATTCATGATCTCATCTTCATACAAAATCCTGCCTAATATATTTGCACAAACAGGGATAAAGTGAATATGAATCATCGTCATGTAAGATGTAGATTATACTGAGATTACACTCTCAGTAAGTGATGCTCTACAGTTGTTTTGCAAGCTGGTCAGCAGCAAGTTTCATGCAGTCAACACTAAGGATGCTAAAATTATGTCATATTGAAGCAGCTGATACCATGAGCTTAAAAATACTTCACTAACAAAGACCATGCCAGTAGAGTTATAATTGGAAATTAGTTTATTACGCATGATGGTTGACTGGGATGAGGGTCAAGGAAAGTAGGGAACAGGATGGAGGGATGTGGGATGGAGAGATGAGGGTTGAAGAGATGATGGTTGTGGAGGGATCGGTGGATGTAGGGAAGTAAATGGGGGGGGGGGGGTGATGGAAGAAATCAGGGTCACAGACAGTGGGAGGGTGGAAAGCGTTGGCAGTCCACTGAGCGGAGGGATGAGCAGAACGAGGAAAATTGAATCAGAGTGGGGAAGACGTCTCTTTGAGAAAAGGAGAGATAACAGCAAAAAGAAAAAAACAAAGAAAAGGGTGTTTTGGGGGTGAAGGATGTGAGAACAGAGTCAAAGTCAGCTCATATGCTGCCACTTTAGAAATGTTGATAGATACGTATGAAACGTACAATGCCAATGTGTTCTTCTGGCCACTGAGCTGCATGTTAAGCTGTCTAAATCTTAGTCACCTTACTGCTCACCCATGTAGCCATGTGCACAGTATATTTTCATTGTGCAGCTCTGACCTTGTTTTGACTGACAGCAGAGGGAGACAGGTGTTTCTGCTAAACAAAAAGAGTGACGGATTACAGATGAATCTGTACTCTGCAGGCATCTGTGCTTTGATACATCCTCCCTCAGGTTCCTGTCCTTCATCTAAAAATGTCCCTGACAACAAATATGAGCATTGTGTTATGTTTGTATTATGTGCCCATACATCCTCACAGTTTGAGTTGTTGCTAAAAATTGGTTCAGAGTACGTCACCACTCCTGAGAGCTGTTTTTGTAAACTCCTTCCAGTCAGCCTCATATTACCTTTGTTCATTTTATTTTATATTTTTAACACATGAATTGTGAGTTTATATGACATGTGGTGAATGATTCTAACAAACAACCCCACGCTGTTGGACCCTGACCTACATTTGAGTCATGACTGTCCCCACAGGGAATTGAATGCCCAGTCCTGCTGCTGTGTTACTGCTGTGCATGACCACAGCACAGCTCATGTATTGTTACAGTTTTCTTTTTATTATCCACATGGTGATGGGCTGTGGAGGGGGTTGGGACTTCACACACTCTAGCCCACTTGCAAGAAGGGTGGTTTGTTGTTTGTTTTGCTAAGCCGCAAACCACTGCAGACCACGGTTCAAGACCAACAAAAACAAAACTGGTAATGTTTTCAGCAAGTTGTCACTGTGTTTTTAGCTGTTTTAAGCCCCTAAACGTTGGTGTTTTTCCCTGTTTTCCACTGGAGATAGTGAGACATCGCTGCATTTCCAGCTGTGATTGTGCCCCTTAAAACCGGGTATTTTAAACCAAAACATGATGTTTTCTTAACCATAACCACGTGGTTTTTGTGCCTAAACCTATCTTCATGTTACCACAATTTTGTTAAAATTGAAAGTTTCAACGCACATACTAATGTACAAATGTACCTGTGGTTTGCAGAAATATATCATGCCAAATTGTCTGTGCCACAGTTAACACTTAACAGGAGCTTCAGGAGCATTTGTATACCAAAGATGAGAATGCTATTTGATTGAGGGTATCAAAGAGTTTCAGATTTCCACTCCTTTTTCTTTTTCAGGCTGTTGCAGATCATATTCAGTCATCACATCACAGCTGGACTTGGTCCTGATTGGCTCCCCTTGATAAAGAAATAGTGAAACCCCCTGAATCAGGTAAGTGTCCTTAATTATAACCACTTAGTGGGTCCGTTTACACGCAGACTAATATTCCAATATTATTCTCAATATCACAGTAGCATTCTTTGGATATGTTCACAGCACATTCGGAATATACGTCTCAGTTTGGGTCTGCAGTTTGTAACGCATGGCCTCTTGCCTGTTTACAATCAGCTCTGTGTGTTGTCATGGATACTATGTGCAAAACTCTACTAGCCAATATTTTCCAGGGCTGTGAGGTAGAGATGCACGCCCAACAGAAAAGCTTACATTTCTGGTCAGAAGGAAAAACACACCTACTTTTAAACATTATGAAAGACTTGGCTATCAACAGGGTTTTGGATATGTGCAAATATCTCAATGCTGACCTTTTTAAGGAGGTGGTTGAAGGAATGAAAGAGAGAGGCTGTGTTCCCACGGCCCAACAAATCCGCCACTGGTGGAAAATTTTGAAAAAATCGGATAATGAGACAAAAAGCAAAAAGTCAGGAGGAGCTCCAGCCGTTTCCCTTTTCTGTATTTTGTCTTGATAAAAGGCATGTTCGGGCACATTATTCGGAGTATGCACAGATGTGTTAACAGGAATATTAGTGTAATATTCCCTTTCATTAGCCATAAAAATAGCTCAGGAGGAATATTGTCTTTTACTTAATTAGGACAATAAACTGAATATTTTGGACATGTAAATGTTGTCAGTGTCCAGTGTAAGACTGGTAATAATGGGTTAAGTATTTCAGTAATTAACTGAGGGTTTGTGTCCTAAACATCAGGGTGGATGACATCTGCAGTCTGAGCAGTAGGCTTGGACACATGTAGTGATGGAGAATGTTTGAGGAGTCAAATATGATTTTGTCTGTTGGCTCAGCTAACGTTTTATTGATAATATTCAAAACTGGATGTGGGCTGCTGTCTCTCTCTCTCTCTCTCTCTCTCTCTCTCTCTCTCTCTCTCTCCCTTTTTTCTCATCCCTCAGTGGCAATTTCAGATCCAGCAGTCAGACACCTGCGTCCCTCTCTGATAAATATTGAATCTGCCAGGGTTAGAAATGGATCTTTAACAAGGCCAACACAGATATACACATACACGTACACACACACTATCTCACACACACACACACACACACACACACACACATTATGTCTCTCTTTCTCTTGAACATGTCCTCACTTACTGAACCCACAACAGGTCAGCGGGTTAGTGGTGAACCTTGCTGTGCATCTCCTCCTTTTTGTTGCTGTCCAGCGTAGAAACTAATGCACACACACAAACACTCGGTAAATGCACAGACAGACAGCTGTGTGTGCGATGAGAATCTGTGCTGTGTTTGCACAGTTATACTGACAGAGCAAACAGAGAAGGTGTGACAGGCATGCTGATCTTCAGGTGCAGCATATGCATGTGTGTGTTGGCCACCAGGTGACAGGTGATTTTGTGTGTGTGTGTGTGTGTGTGTGTGTGTGTGTGTACAGGAGAGGAAGCTGTCTTGCTGAAAATGGAGCTGGACATAAACAGTAACATAAAATGTGTTCTGAGTTAATAAAAATGTGGAACAATGTCTTAAACATGTATGTAAGTCACAGTTTCTGATGATGGTGCCAGGGAGTGTGTTGACTGAGTGCGGTTATTTAATAAACAGTTTCCTGGCTTGGTTGTTAGTGTATGATGCTTTGATTGAGCTTTTTTACTCACAAGCAAATCTTTTAGCAGCACATTAAGTGTATGTACCTCATTAAGAAACATAGAAATATAACTTAGACTGGTGTTTCTCAAGCTTTTCTTGCCAATCAGCCAAAATCAAAATCAATACAGAAGCATTCTCATGACCCCACAAAGTTAAGCCCTAAAGCATCAATTAAAAATAGGAAAGGTTGTCAGGGTCCATATGATCTGTTGTCAGAATGCAGCCCATGTAGTAGAGTTTACAAGGTCTGAATGTGGACCGTGGCTATGGACTCATTTGGGTGGATTTGGATAGATTGTAACATATTAGTTACAATCTAAATTTAGGCATGTAAGTGCTGCACTTAACATTTCATTCCTAGCTGCTGGGTAGAAAACAGCTTTGTGTGCTGGAGCAACCTCTGTTGTAAATCTAAATGAAATTAGTTTTCATGTTACATTACGACCAATACACCCTGCAAATCACACTCCTCTTTTGATATACAGTGAGTATAGTAGGTAGTTAGAGCTGTGGTGTAGTGCGTTGACCAAACAGCAACCTCCAGTAGTGATGCACGGGTCGGGGTTTTTTCCAACCCGCGGGTCCCGCATTTATGAAATAATTTGACCTGCTCCATCCCGCCCGCACAACTGCATCTATTTTCACAACCCACCCCACCGGGCCCCCGCCGCTATTAACGTACCCGTCTTGTGGTTCTCATGCTTATATAGCTTATCACAGGAATTGCACTTCACATAGCCAATGCTGCTGTCATCTGCTGCACTATTTACCTCACAGAAATTGTCCCAACCATGAGATTTAGCAGCTTGACCTTCTTTTCTTTTAACTCTGTACTCTCCCAAATGTAATCTTTCCCTCACTTCTTCTTCCATCTTCACTGCTTCATTGATGGTTTGTTGTGGCCGCTGCTTGGTGCTTTTGTGACTTCAGGTCGCAGGTTATGTTACGTAACATGCATTTACCTAACCTACAACAGTGTTGTTAACAAGTAGGCTATATCCGACATATTTAATCTTTAATGACCCGTCCCACCCGCCCTGCCAATAAAGTGAACATTTCTTGACCTGACCCAACCCGACCCGCGGGTAACCCGCAAGACCCGCGGGTTATGGGTCAGCCCGCACATCACTAACCTCCAGGCCTGAAAAATTAGACCAACACAGAAGTGCCAAAAACTGCAGTCCTTTGAATGGCCACTCGAGGCTGGCTCCAGAAGCCAGTCAATCTGCACAGACCCCCATGTTAAAATGCCCAGCTTTACAGCAGAAATAAATGTGTTTACAGCCAGGTCTCTATAGCTAATTTTCTCCTTCATGACAACTGTACAGGGGGTGAATTTTTATATAACTCACTTGTTTACTTTTTATTAAGGCTTAAAATTACACATAATTAAGGGTGGATTGCTTTGAGTGACAGGCCGTCTGCTTAAAGTCTTCGGCTTCTTATTCAGATCCACCCCCCCCCCACAGTCCCAGCCGCCCAAATATGGTCACTTCCAGCTCTAAAAAAAAACAAGATTGCAACCATCAAAATGCCACAAACCACAGAGTTCACAAACCAATGGGTGATGTAACAGTGGCTACATCCATTATTATTACAATCTATGTAGTTGGCAGGCTGGAGTTGGGTCACATGGGATTATGCAAGTCAGCATTGGCAACAACTGCCTCCACTACAAAGCAGCCCAAATAACGGAGGCGGACCAAAAGACAGTCTAATAATAAACATAGTAAAACACGTGTCAGTATCAGCGAAGTGTTTCAGATAGACCCCCAGTTAGCAGCTGTAGCAACAAACAACTAGTCAGCGCAAACCTGAGCATGGCCAGATGAGCAAACTTTCTGTTGCTGCCATTACACAGGTTATACCTGGTGCTGGGAGGGTTTGCTCTGGTCAATTTGGAGCTGCTACAGCTGCTACAAAAACAGGGTAACTGTATGAAGTGTGTGCATACACCTGTAGTCATTTGTTGGGACGGGCTTAGGACAGAAAGGGCAGAGCTGTGGGGGAAGGGTGTTTTTTTTTTGTTTTTTTTTCTTACCCAAACTTTCCATTTCCCAGCTTTACACTTAAAAGAAACTTCACTGCAAGAAAGCAGTGCAGACAAACAAATCAAATATTAATGACAGCTGAGTGTAGCTGGTTTAAAACTTGCTGAGGCAGCACATGGTTTAAAGAAACCTAGCACATTTTATGAAATTGTGAGCACATCTTGATAAATCTGAATTACAAGACTATTAAACTGAGAACATGGATGGACAACCACATGATAACAATGTGTGGGTCATACATTTAATAAGCATCACCTCCTGTCTGCCATGCTGTAAACATAGCCTCCAAACAGATTTGATTCACCTGAGGTCTTTTACTGGGCTCCTTAAACAGGTGTGTAATTCATGAATATGGGTTCATAGGTGTCCTCATGCCACCCACTGCTTTGCCTCTGTCCTTTGTGTATCTGTTCCGCTTGTGTGTTGGTCCATATTAGCCTCCTGGTGAGTGAGGACACATCTGTTTGCAAGCAAAACAAAAGCGTATCAAGGACATTTCTGCCACCTCTTAAAGCAGAGACGAGCTCAGCTGCTCAGCCATAACACTGGTTATATAGGCAATGAAGAGTAACAGTGGATAGCTTCTGATAGTGTCTGGGCGTTTCCATCAGAGGCTAATAGTGTTTAGGGGCTTTAGGATGTGAAGAGGAATGGGAGTGTAAAGACTTCTTGCCTCATTTGTTGATGGTGTGTTGTTTCTTTTAAAATGAGGTAGTGAGAGCTTTGAGGAAATTTAAAATGTAGAAATTATGCTTACCGTTTTACCGATATCACCGACATCAAAATACTACAGGAAACAACCTTGAAAGCTACGTGAATAAAGCTCCAGATATGAGAAGAGTCGCTATAAACTTTTACTTTTAAGCAGGCTTTTAGGGGAACCTTGATGAGGACCTTAAAGATTGAAGTGAGTGACTGCTTTTCAGTTTTTAAGAGATGACTTGTGGAGGGAAGTTATTTGCTTTGGAAAGCTGTTTTCATCTTCTGAAAAAAAAGAGACTATCATCTTAAAAAACAGATGTTTGAAAGTTATCCATCCATCCATCCATCATCTCTGGCTGATAACAGTTTGTAAGAGGGATTTCATTTCTCCATACCTTGTCATGTATAATGTATTACAGGAATCATTTTGTAACAATGTGATTGCTTTTCAGTTGGTAAACAATTTGGATGCAGAAGGACCCAGTCTGCTCCCCAGAGAGGAGCCGTGCATTCAGACAATACCCACAAATGGCAATTTGACTGCCAATTGCTCAATTCACAGA